TATAAGAAATGTACTCATTACATTGTCCCTGTAATTGTAACGCCTCTGTATGGTATTTTCACAAAAAAAACTTAAAACATAATAAGGATATTTGTAAAGTACATAACGAAGGAAGAATTTTCATCCTTTACAAAATATATGTAAAATCTATGCTAAACTATATTTTACTCTACCTTTCCTGCAACCAGTTTGATATAGTTTAATACCTGTCACGCCAAGTTTCTTTATATTCTACTGGAGATTTAATTTTTCATGTATGTATGTTTATGTATATTTATATGTATCTATCTATCTATCTGTATATGTTCCAATGTGGATCCTCAAACTTGAAACTTTGCTTTTTTTTTTTGCTGTTCAGCAGTTAATCTGGTCCGCTCAATCTGTGACAATATCTGTGCTCATTCTGATCATTCCTTTATTTACCACACCATTAGCACCATCAGCCTTTTAAAATGAGCTTAATTTCCAGAGATGATTGCCAATCAATCCAACCAATATACACCTAGAGGGTTTTAATAAAACAAGCTTTAAGGTAGGAAGATATCATGAAGTGACAACTACAAAATTTCTACAGAGACCTGACATCTTTCACATTTCTGCCTTCCTCATGATACTTAAGCAATCATTGACTAACACTATTAATAATACTGCAATTATAACTTAAAGATCAGTGTTTTTGCAACCTGAAGCTTTCTTTTTCTATGATTCTTGACATAAACTTTTGTGAGACTTTTTTGATTGTGGTGGGATACCATCCAAAACAAAGCCATGTATATCAAGAAAGCCAATGTTTTCAACTCAGAGTACTAAACAAAAGAGGAAAAAAAATTAAGGTTAGCTATATACGTTAAGCACAAATATAGGCAATATCAAGATATTTTGAAATTGTATAATTTTATTGGATAAAGTGGCTCAAATCTATAATATTATCTACTTGGAAAAAAGAGCTCAGAGGATTCCAGTGCAAGGCAAAATGTTTTATGCTTGTGTTAGGAGGACCTCAGTCCAAGCAGGCCCAGGCATAGTGGTACTACCTCAAAATAAGCAATAAAATTATAATTTGTAGGTATGGTAGTAGTAGAGATGCCATTTCACAAGTATAGTTTTTGAGTTCAATCTTCCAGTAGTACTGGGAATTTAAATGTGGCATGTCTAAGGTCAAGACTTCATACTTGTCTTACAACCTCTAATAAAACCTTTACCTCTCTTGCTATTTTTTAAAAGTATAACCATAACTTCCATGCCCCAAACAAATAATTTCATATTAGAGATTTTCTTCTATGTATTAAGTAATATGTTATGTCCCACTGAAATCAGACTAAAGATAAAAAACCCATTGTCTTACAAAGTGACTGCATATGGAAACAGAATCTCAAAGGTAGCATTTAAGTTGAAGTGTACTCCAAGAGAAGCAGAATGCCTTGAATATGCCAAGGAAAGAGGAATCAGAAGCTAACTCTAATCTTGGTGTTCTAATTCCACCAACTCTGAGACAATGTATTTACAATGTTCATGCTACCCAATCTGTGGTAGTTTATTATTGCAATTACTAGCAAACATGTGGAAGCTATAAGACACGAAAAGTCTTTGACTCTTCAGATCCAAGACTCATCTCTATAATCCTAGTGATTAAGAAGTACAAGACTTGGGGAATAATGGCTTTCAGGCTGGTAGAAAAGTTCATGAGGTTCTATCTCCAATTAACTACAAAAATTTCTGGGCTGGGCCATGGTTCAAATAGTAGACTGACTACTGTTAGCAAAACAAAAAACAAAAAACTGAGAGCCTGATGTATGTTCAAACCCCAAACTGGCAGAAAGAAAAAGTCCTTCAAATAATACTATGAGAAGCAGAATTATGAATAGGAAAGCAGAAACAAAAGAAATAAACTTATTGATATAGACAAAGCTCCTCAATGTGAAATATGGCACAAACTGTAATATTTAGTGTTTTCCTTCCTATACAGTAGAAATAAATGGCATTTTTACTTGACGAAACTAAAATATAAAACTGTATGCAATAAATAATCACATTACTTTTATGTTTCCATAATTTAACTTGTTTTCCTAAATATTTCTCAAATAGTGTAGCTTTTGAAAATCAATAAATGTTGCATTTTCATATACGATTACCTATCCTTCCAAGTGTGGTCTAAAATTGATCTACACTGAAATGATTGCCATTGACATTTTTCTCAAAATATTTATACTTTCAGCTGACCTTCCACAAAACTCATACCCAGAATATAACTTTTTAGTTTGTTCATGCAAACATAGGAACATAAACATATGTCTCAAAATGTTAATTACGTTTATCTGCTGTCATTAATGAAGTATAACTAATAGAATTATGTATATACCCTGAGGGAAATAAGATACTTCCTTCTAAATACAGACTTGCAGGCACACACACAATCACACATGCACATATATATATTTACCACTTTGACTCCAGTTAGATTCCTGACATTGGGTGTCAGCAGTGATCTAATAATCAAATTTTCCTGCCCAGACACAAAATACATTCATAATTCCACACAGACAAAAACACCAGATCATTCAAAATAATGAGAATATTTAACAGAACCAACCAGCACTTGAGCCATCTACTCCCTGATTTCTTTTATTCATGGTGATGCATTTTTCATATCATAATTAAAATATTTTTGTCTCTGATTAACAGAAAAAAATAGGGGATCATATAATGGAAATTGTAGGTAAAATTACTTGTAATCTTTACTATATCTTATCAAAGACTTCTGTTTCCTTCTTGTAGAGTGTTTCTGTCATTTTGCCCTAATGTCTATAATTAAATTACAAAGGACATGCCATATACCTTAATTCATTTTTCCTAAAGGTTATGCTATGGAGTTGAATCTGATTTGTTTGCTTATTCTAAATTAAATATTCTCAACAACTGGCAATATTGTTTATGTTACTCCTAATCCATTTGAAATATCAAATAGAACTGGAAATTCCCCTCGGCAATGATTTGTGAATGTCATTAATGCTTGTGGAGGGATGAAGGATTTGAATTATCTAGAGTGCATTAAAAATGGCACTGTTATTCAAAGGGCTGATCATTTAGTCAGCTTTTAAAGTGTGGTCTTCTTATTTCATCTAAGAAGATAACAGTATGCTATTCATAACATTCTTGCCTGCAAAGCAGTAGAATTATTTCCTTTGTACAGTTGATGTCCAGCTGCGACTTTAGTGAAACCTACAAAAAATTGCATAGGTGTATTAGCTCCTCTAGATTTTGAAATTTTCTTCCTGTAGCCTTTGTGATTTGAGCCCAGATTCATGGGATAGTCACATAATCCACAATACCAAAGCACCAAAATATACAAAGACCACATGCAAAATGAGTTTCAGTTTTTTCTATGTTGATTTCTTTTTTTAATGATTGTCTTTTAAGGAGCTAAGGGTGTTTATTTCTCATTATTTTTTATGTTACTTAAATTTTCCAGATTTTTCAAATAAAATAAAGAGATATAAAACAGACCTATTTAATCGCAAAATAGAGCTAACCATTTGCGTGATTTTTTAATTCTAATCCTGTTTTCAGTTATCTTCAAATAACATTGAGATGAGTCCAGCATATATGTAAATTGACATGTATAAAACACACAGAATTCTGGAATCTTTGGACTGTGATTTCTATCTAACTTCACTTAGAAAAGAAAATGATCACTTGCTTCATGTCTTAAGTAATCTACTTAAAACAAGTTTTTATTAATTTTGTTAATAAATGTCATAATCTATGGTACTGATGCATTGCATAAGTATGTGATTCCTTATTTCCACTGAATTAACATTACATTTATTTTATTTTTTTACACATGAAATAATGACATTCTGGAAGATAATACATGCCTGCTTTTCATTTTGGTTGCCAAAAAGGAATTATTAGACATTTGGAACATTTAAATCTGAACTTTCAAATTTCACTAGGACTTGAATTGTGTTACTTACAAATTTAATATTAAAATAAAAAGTATCATTAAATAGAAAGCAAAATTATGTTATCACATCTTAATCCCTGAATTGACTTCATGATAAGAAACAATTAGATTTATATAACAAGATATACATACTCAAACGAACTATGAGATACGGAAACAGACAACTTCTTTTTTGTTTTGTGTTTGTTGTTTTTTATAGTTTGTGAAAATTCTGTCTTTTTTACCTTATGCCTGGTATATTCATTGTATGTCTTCAGCAAGGTGAGGGGTGGGCACAGAGCTTTAGGAAAAAGAGTGAAAAATAGCAGCATTGGAGGTCATTGAACATTGATGAAAGTGAACTATTTAACACATGGGTGGGGACAGGAGGGTGGGACTGGGAACAAGTGAGGGAACTGAAGACATTTCACAAAAGGAAATGTTCTCATTACCTGACCCTTGTAATTGTAATCTATCTATAAATCACCTTAATAAGAACAACAGAGTAAATTTCTGTTAAAAAGGCAAACAAAATGTTGTTTCTTAGAATCTTAAAAGTTTGTTTTGTTTACTGGTTTGAGCTGGTTGAGTCTATCTCTGAAAATAGCTACATTGACATTCATTGGGCGAATTTTTGAGCTGCTAGTAGATAAAAGTCAATTATGATTGTATTTTTTTGAGACTGATTCATTTATTCCTTTAATCTAATTTGTATTATTTCTGACTACTGGTTTTTGGTTTTGTTTTTCCTGATTTGTCAAAGACTTAGTGGTGCATCATTAGTGCTTATTTAAGATTGTTCTTAAATCAAAAGAGATACAGGATATCAAACAGGAGATGCATGCAAAAATAGAAGCTGCACAAACCTCAGTAAGAAGTGAGATAAATGCCAAATTAGAGGTAATACATACCTCATTAAGAGGTGAGATCAGTACTTTGAGAACCAACATGGAATCCATAAAGGAATCCATTTCCTTCATGCAAACCTCAATAGAAGCCATGGTCAACAGTGTGAACGAAATGGAAGGTAGAGTGTCAGATACAGAAGACAGAATACACCAGCTGGACCAAAAAATGACAGATATGGAAAAATCACTCAAATTAAGCCAAAGGGAAATTCAGGAACAAGGCAAGGATGCCCACTGTCTCCACTCCTCTTCAATATAGTCCTGGAACCCTTAGCAAGGGAAATAAGGCAAGAAAAAGACATTAAAGGGATCCGCATAGGGAAAGAAGAAGTTAAACTATCCCTTTTTGCAGACAACATGATACTATACCTTCACAATCCCAAAAACTCCATCCCCAAACTCTTAGAAATCATAAATCACTTCGGCAAAGTAGCAGGATACAAAATAAACCCACAAAAATCAGTTGCCTTCCTGTACACTGACAATGTACAAGAAGAGAGGGAAATAAAGGGAGCAACCCCATTCACAATAACCTCCCAAAAAATAAAATATTTAGGAATTAACCTAACCAATGATGTAAAAGAACTATTTAATGAAAAATATAAAAAGTTAAAGAAAGAAATTGCAGAAGACACTAGGAAATGGAAAGACCTCCCATTCTTTTGGATAGGCCAACTTAACATAGTAAAGATGGTAATACTTCCAAAATTAATATACAAATTCAATGCAATTCCTATTAAAATCCCAATGACGTACATCACTGAAATACAGAAAACAGTCCAAAAAGTCATATGGAACAACAAAACACCTAGAATTGCCAAAACAATTCTAGGGAATAAAGACAAGATGGGAGGGGTATCCATGCCGAACTTCAAACTCTACTACAGAGCTATAATAACAAAGACAGCATGGTACTGGCACAAAAGAGACCGGAAGACCAATGGAACAGAATAGAAGATCCAGAAATAAATCCACAGGCCTACAGCCAGCTGATATTCGACAAGGGAGCCAAAGACATACAATGGAAGAAACACAGCCTCTTCAACCACTGGTGCTGGGAAAATTGGGCGGCCACATGCAGAAAGCTAAAAGTGGACCCAAGTCTATCATCATGCACCAACATCAACTCAAAATGGATTAAAGACCTTAACATTAAACCTGAATCTCTGAAACTACTGCAGGCCAGAGTAGGAGAGAAACTTGAACTAAAAGGCACAGGAAAGAACTTCCTGAACAGAGGCCCAGGGTCACAACAAATTGGAGAGAGACTCGACAAATGGGACTACCTTAAAATAAAAAACGTCTGCACAGCTAAATCTATCGCAACCAAGCTAGAAAGACAACCAACTAATTGGGAAAAAATATTTACCAGCAATATATCAGACAAGGTGTTAACATCCTGTATATACAGCGAAATCAAGAAACTAATCCCTCTAAACCTAACAAACCAATTACTAAATGGGCAAGGGAACTAAAGAGGGACTTCTCAGATGAAGAATTAAAAATGGCAAAGAAACACATGAGGAAATGTTCATCATTCCTGGTGGTGAAGGAAATGCAAATAAAGACAACCCTGAGATACCACCTTATCCCAGTCAGAATGTCTCACATCCACAAATCAGCCAACGACAAATGCTCGAGGGGATGTGGAGAAAGAGGAACCGTATTACACTGCTGGTGGGAATGTACACTTATACAACCACTTTGGAAAGCAATCTGGAGGGTCCTTAGAAAGCTAAAGATTGACCTCCCTTATGACCCAGTCATACCACTTCTAGGCATCTACCCTGAACAACAGGAACCAATATACAAAGACACGTGCACCTCCATGTTTATTGCAGCACTGTTCACAATAGCTAGGATATGGAAACAATCCAGATGCCCCACCACATATGAATGGATAAAAAATTGTGGTATCTATACACAATGGAATATTATGCAGCCATTAGAAATGACAAAATAATGGCATTTGCAGGGAAATGGATGGAGCTAGAAGGAATCATGTTGAGCGAGGTAAGCCAAGAGCAAAGAGACAAATGGTACATGGGTCTCACTGATAAGTGGATGCTAAATCCAAAATGTTAGGTGTTAAGACAAAATTAACAGGACTTAAGAAACAAAGAACTCCCACTCATCTGGTCAAACCACTACTAAATATCCCCATGCTGCTGATGAAATGTATGTTGTATATGTGTACACCGTTATATGTTATAGACTGTAATAGACAATTTGCTCCAGGAAAGTTAGAATGAACTTGTGAATTTAAATGAGAATCATTATTTCACAATACTGTGAAATTTGGGAAATTATGTAATCACTTAATCACAATTAAAAAAAAAAAAAGAACCTCGGGGAAGATAGGGAGGGAAGGGATGGTAGGGGGAAAACAATGGAGGGGGTAACAATGCTCAATAGGAAGTGTATTCATTACATTACTCCTGTAACTTTAGTCTTCTGTATACTATCTTTACAATAAAAAATTTAAAAAATTGGTCTAATTTGTTGATGTACATACTCAAAGCTATAAATATTCCTGTGAATATTGTCTGTGCTGCTGCTGTTTCCCAGAGGAGGTAGTATTTTGTGTGTTCACTTCCACTGAATTCCATAAACGTTGGAACTTCCCTGCTTATCACTTCCGTGACTCACTGATGATTTAGCAATGTGTTATTCAGTCTCTATGAGTTTCAGAATCTTATGTGATGCCATTTGATGTCGAGATCTAATTTGGTCCCATCATGGTCTGACAGGATATGAAGAGTAATTTCATTTTTATTTTTCAATATTGAAAGATTTTCCTTGTGACCTAAGATATGATCTACTTTGAAGTACATTCCATGGGCTGCTGAGTGGAATATATATTATGACACTAGTAGGTGAAATACTCTGTAGATATCTGTTAGGTATAACTTGTCAAAACAGTTATTTAGCTCTAAAGATTTTTGCAAAGTTTTTACCTGGATGGCCTGTCCAGAGTTAAGAATGATTTGTTCAAGCAACCAACAATTTATTTGGATGTATGCATGTTTTTAGTTTAAGCAATATTTCTTTAATGAATTTGTGAGCTCTAGGATTCAGGACATTGATATTTAAAATTGTTACATCCCTCTGATGGAGAGCTTTCTTTGTCAATATTTAATGTCCTTCTTTGTCTCTTTTTACTTTCATACCACTTTTATTTTAAAGCCAATTTTATCTAATTTAGTATAGCTCCTCCAACCTGTTTATGAGGTCCATTTTTAATTTGTAAAAATTAAAATGTACAGAAGGGTTACAATTCCATAAGTCAGATAATGAGCACATTTCTTTTTGAACAGTGTCACCCCTTCACTCATGTTCTCCCAATTTTTCCCTTTCAGCCTCCCTCTCGCATAAGTTGTATATTTCATTTGCAATGTAGTGTCTATTGAGTAGCACTGCTGCATTTAAGCCTTTGTCCCACCATTTCTGTATTCCCCCTTACCCTATCCAAACGTACATATAAGACCAAAGGTGCAGAAATTAAAAAAATGGCATCAGAACACTGAAGAAAAATGCAAAATAATAAACAAACTCTCATAATCATTTCTTGGAGATTATTTTAATGAACATTATTTTATATGATAATATTCGTACAGCTATTGATCCTTTGTGATCCTCCTTTGATCTCACTGTATAAATGTTTACAATCCCATAAAATTTATCATGTCCAAGTATAATGTTTTCTCTTTTACCATCCAACTGCGTTTACTTGTAGAATTAGAGGCACGTTCTACTACAACAAATGAGGGAAATTAGGCAACCTATATTTCTTTGAGTCTGTCTTTCTTCAATTAATATAAGTTTGTTCCAAGTCTTTCCATTTCCTTATGAATGGTGTAATATCATTCTTTCTGGATCAATAGAATCGCATCATACTGAAGAGTTTCTACATGGCAATGGAAAAAGTTAGCAGGATATACAGAAAGAGAACAGAATGGAAGAATATTTTTACTAACTAAGCATTAGACAAGTGTTTTCATAACTCACCCATATTTAGAGATCAAAAAGTTAAACCCAACAAAAATAAACCCTCAAATAAACAAGAACCCAATTAATATATGGGATAAAGACTTAAAGATAACATTTTAGAAAAAGAAGTAAGAATGAAAAATAGACACATCTCTCTCCAAAAAAGAAATACAAATCCAAACAAACCGGAGATTCATCTCACCCCTCTTAAAATGTCATTATAAAAAACGAACAATCACAGATACTGATAGGGATGTGTACTAAAGGAAACTCTATTACACTGTTGGTTGAATGTAATCTTGTTCAATCACTTTGGAAAACACTATGGAAATTGCTCACAGAACTGAATAGAGAGCTACCTACCTATGATCCAGCAATTCCACTTATGGTAATTTATCCAATAGAGCAGAAACATGCCCACACTGAAGCTACCAGCATAATCATGTTCATTATTGCATTATTTTCTGTAGCCAACATATGGAATCAGCCCAGATGCCTCTCATTGAAAAAAGAAATCAAGAATTATATATGTATATATAATTATATATATATATATATATACATATATCTAATTTTATTGGTCCCAATTTACAAGTATATATGTACGTATATAAATGTATGTATACAAACATAGATACATATATATACAAACATATAAATACTTACATAATGGAATTCTGTTCATCCATCGGAAAGAATAATATTGCACCATTCTAAAGGAAAAATGAAACACTTAGAAATAATATTAAGTGAAATAAAGCAGACCCAGAGAAACTTAGTTTGCATGACTTTCCTCACTTGTGGTACATAGGAATGTCTATAAATGTAAAAGTAAACACACTGGATGGTAGGCAAGGAGGTACAAATGAATTATCTGAAGTGTCAGAGTCCGTGGAGAGTGAAAATACTATAATTCTCTTAAAAGGATAAGTCAAAGCCCACCAAAATAAATACCAGTAAATGTGTAGTGCAAGAGAGGATAGTGGGGGGCAATGTGAGAGTGGTAGGAAATTAAAGGGGAAAAGGATAGAATACAGGCAAGAATCCATTGTATACTTCCCAGAATTGAAATATACAAAGCAATGGGTAGTGTGAAATGGGGTTGAAGATGTTGAAGTGGTAACACAATTCCAGGTGCATTGTACACATAAACTGCTTTGTTAAATGGCGAGACATTCCATAAAATAATAATGAGATACATAAGGATTGGGGTTGATTAGTAGGGGTGGATGAGAGTGTTGAAAGGGGTGACATTGATCAAGATGCACTGTATCCATACACTGTTTCAGTGAAGGGCAACTCCTTTGTACAACTAAAGATAATAAAAATATTCAAAAATTAATTATGATAGTTGAATAGAAAGTTGAACCTCAATTAAATTCCCATTTAAAAATATTTTTAACCCGGAGACTTGGAGAATAAAATTCAAATAATAAAAACTTATGAATCTTTTTTTTTTCAGAATTTGTGAAATTTAAATCAAAACTTTGCTTTTTGTCAGCCATTGGGCTGTTAAAATATTTCAAAGTAAGTGGCTTAAAAGGAGTATATTTTCCGCACTCTAGAAGCTTAAACATTGATTTTAAAATTGGTTGTTCAAAGCAATTCTTTGTCTTATGGGGGTCTACTTTCTGATTCATTATAATCTGTTTGCTGGACTTTCACATGGCAGAGTAATTATATTGGGCTTCTTTCGTCAGGATCATTATTGCAGGGTCAACTCTGAAGGGTTGATTCTAATATCACCAGAAAGGAGAATAGAATTTTAACATGTGTATCTGGAAGGAGTTACATCGTCCAAAACACTTTGCTACTTTTGCTTTAACTCGGTGTGGTGTACATTTGGATGTTATATCATAGAACATAATAAATTAAGGACAAGATTATATCATGTACATAATGTGAATGATTCTTCTTAAAATGGGAATAATTATA